GGCTAGACTCGCAGTCTAGCCGTACTTATTCTTAAATGATGACTAGACTGACCATTTACCAAAAATAGGCCTACATTTTTAGTGTGCAGTACCTAAAGTATTTGTATTTGAGACGAAACCAGGTGCCTTAATGACAGTGCATGTATTTTAAACCTCCTGTTTTCTAATGTTAATAGGGCCTAAGATAAGTACGGCTAGACTAAGTACGGCTAAACTTCTTGTCTAGCCGTACTTAAGTACGGGTAGACAGCCAGGCTAGCCGTACTTAAGGACGGCTAGACTGTCAGGCTAGCCATACTTAATATTGATGGCTGAATTGTAAATGAAATTTTTTGTTTGCAATGCCTAAAGTATTTGTATTTTAGACAAAACCAAAAGGTGCCTTACTGACTTGCATGTATTTGAACCTGAATAATTACTAGATCTAGATCTAATTATGAGACCTGTGTACTTAACAGGCTTGAGTCGATAGGGCCAAACCTAGATCTAAGTACGGCTAGACTCTCAGTCTAGCCGTACTTAAGTACGGCTAACCACTTCGCAGTCAGAATTAATTTAAGTCACTTTTGTCACATAGTTCCGCGAGTCCTTTACTCTTTACAATTTAAGGGCTATCGCTCTGGTTTACTGAAATGAAAGCTTGTTAACTCACCACCCATAACACAAACTTCTATTCGTCTACTGTGTACGAGTGTAACCAGCCCTGCAGCCACTGGGTTTTAGGTCCTCTTTCACTTCCTCTCTCACTTCGAATCTATCTCTCTCACTGTCTGCTATACTTCATTTTGACCATTATTTATTTATTTTTTTACCGACAATAAAAAATGCTCATACAAATGAAAAAGAAATGATAAAGTCTAAAAGAGCAAACCACACAGTACAGAGCTCACGTCAACCAACTACACTTTCTTTTAAAACAAAAAATGAAAAATGGGCAAGAAAGCAATAAATTAAGGTCCCTTCCACTAGTAGATCTAAATCTAGATCTAGATCTAATAGCTCTATTTATTTAACAATATTATTGATATAACTCCAGCTGCTTACAATTTAATAGATCTCTAGACAACGCAACTACAACAAATTAAATGGTTAGAGTGTGGAGTATCTCTACTATCTGTCAAGACTAGGGCCTACCACCAAACACCGTGAGCAGCGAAATAACCGGAGATCATAAGATAATAAATTGAAGAATTAAAATTGAGAGGCAGGTAAACTAAGTTCTGATCTAATAGATCTAAGATCTAGATCTAGATTTAGATCTATATCTAATCTAGATCTAGATTAGATCTAGATTCTATATCTAGATCTAGATCTATACTATAGATTCTAGATGCTATATCTAGATTCTAGATTCTAGATCTAGAATCTAGAATCCAATATATATCTAGATCTAGAATCTAGATCTAGATCTAGAATCTAGATCTAGATTAGATCTAACAAAGACAAAGATTACAAAGAAAAGGAAACTTACAAGATTCTAGACAACAATGTCGTAGATCTTCTATCGTGTTTTCGAAACTTTCCTGTTCCAGATCTGGAAACTTTTTACAGCAGATCACAGTGGACTGAGTGGACCGTGGAAGCTTTCTTGGTCTTGGTAGGCTAGTCTAGTCAAGACAACCTCTTGCGTTATTTCGTCAGCGAGCGTCGCGAGCGACTGCAAGAGTAACTTATATAGTGTGCGTGTGCCCAACAACAAGATTTTCCCAGGAAACCAGGCTGTCTGCTGCGACATGCGGCTAGCAGCAGCCCGTCAGCCAGAAGCTGATTGGCTGTGGGTAAGCTAGTGGTGCTCTGATTGGCTGTGGTAGGCCAGTGGTGAATATTGTGTTGGGCCTATGATTCCAGTTTTAGCGGTTCGGAAACTTCTGAAACAGTGCTGTAAATATATGAAGCCTAATCTACCTGTTCCAGTAAGGAACTGTGGGGGCCGAATGGACAGCGTGATTGCGTGCGGAGTGAACGGGCGTGGGATCGAATCCTGGAAAATACTCTTTTTTTTTTTTTTTTTGGCCTCCTTTCTTCTCCTCCTCCCGACTGACCCTCCTTTCTTCTCCTCCTCCCGACTGACCAACAATTTTTCCCCATAATTATAATTCGTTGTTTTGTAGTTTTTTAGGTAGTGATTAAGCACGCACATTCTGGTGTTGCCTTATAGAGGAGCCTTTACCTCTTTTCGATCATCGCTTCATCTAGCAATTTTATAGGCTAAGTGCTCAGGTGCAGCAATGCCTCACGTCTGCAAATA